ACAAGTGCAAAGAGCATGTGCAGACCACAGGCTTATATGTCATCAGCCACACCCCTCTGGGGGATGGACCTCAGAGACCTGAAGGCATAAAAGGATTCCCACCATGCACAGCAGAAATCCAAGATGGACGCCAGCACATGGAGTAACATAACCTCAGGGAAAAGGTAGGACCTTGACACACACAAGCTGTCAATCGGCCCCTGAGTGAACATATTGATCGTCCAAGTTCGTCTCAACCATGAGCTCTCGAAAGATTCATGCTTTCTCATGCCTCCACTCTACACAGTAGCAGATACTGCTACACATGCTACTTGCGTTGTTTGCAAGTCTTTTTTACCCTTGTTTTTACCCTTGTTCATACCCCCAGCTACCAGTCATCAGTCACTAAAACGGCCCCTCTCAACAACCCCCTCAACACAATTGAACACCCAATCCACAAAAATAACAAACCCATGCTCACAAAGCCGCACACCTGCCGGTCCATCACCTCCGCCATGCGGAAAACCACTTCTCTCCACAGCATCTGAATCACCACAGCTACGGAATTCAAACCATCTACAATCAACAAAATGACTACTATATCTTCGCTAAATGTCCGAGGTCTCAACTCCCCCTTCAAAAGGTCCCTGCTCTCGAGAGAAGTCCGCTCCATTCAACCTGACATTGTATTCCTACAGGAGACCCATTTCACCTCATCCAGAATCCCTAAATTCAATATTTCTCAGTTCTCCACAGTATACAGTATATGGCAACGAATCCTAAAACGAAAAACAGCGTCATTACAGCCATAAGAGACTCCCTGCAATTCCAATTTATTTCAGCAACAGTGGACACACAAGGTCGCTACTACATATTGATCTGCAAAATCAATGATACTACATATACATTGGTGAACGTCTATGGTCCTAACACCAATCAACTCCAATTCTTCAACAAACTTAACTCCACCATAAATCAACACAGAAAAGGCAGACTACTCATCGGCGGAGACTTTAACACTATCGGGAACCCTCTGCTCGACAAATCATCCAAAACAAGATCTTCAAAACAATCCTTCAACCAATTTCTTCATTTCAACGATCTCTATGACATCTGGAGATGCCAACACAGTACAGAAAAGGACTATACCTACTATTCTCCATCCCACTCATCCTATTATAGAATCAACTTCTTCATCACTGATAAATGGACTCTACAACATGTCACCTCCTCCAAGATTGGTACCATTACTTTTTAGACCATGCTCCATATCACAATCTCTCTAGACAGCAAACAACATTCGTTGATACCCCGTTTATGGCGATTGAACGTGGTCTTGATGAAGAACCAAGACTACAAGCAACAAATAATAGATGCACACAGAACATTCTTTGAATTTAACGATACTCCTGATATATCCATAACCACTCTGTGGTCAACTTATAAAGCATACATGAGAGGTATTCTGATACAACTAAACGCTTGTGTCAACAAAAACAGAACCCAACAAATAGATAATCTCCTAACCTCAATCAAAACAAATGAGGAAAGAAACAAAAAATCTCAAGACCCAACAATCTCTGCGTCCCTGACAGCAGATAGAAATAAATTAAGATCCCTTCTACTCCACAAATATGATCTAAATCTCCAAAAATTTAAAGCGAAATTCTACTCACTAGGTAACAAAGCCAGCTCTTTGCTAGCCAAATCGGTAAAACAAAAATGGCTGAAATCCAAAGTAGCCTCAATTAAACACCCATCTACGAATACCCTAAACACAAACCCACAAGACATAGCGAACGTCTTTGCAGTATACTACCAAAATCTATACAACCTTAAAACGACCCTGACACCATTCAACCAACAATCACATCCATACAACAATTTCTCCAAACGACCAATCTCCCTCGACTATCCTCAGACCAACTTGACACCATTTTTTCCCCAATATTACCCAAAGAAATAGAAACAACCATTAAAACACTCCCAATTAACAAATCACCAGGAAACGACGGATACACTAACGAATACTATAAACACCTTTCCACAGACTTATCACCACACCTGACTAAACAATTCAATCATGCTGCCACCACAGGCTCATTCCCCAAAGACGTTGCAATCCATCATAACAACTATACCAAAACCTGGCAAAGACCCCCAACTTGTCCAAAACTACAAGCCAATTTCGTTACTCAATAGCGACATAAAACTATACGCGAAAATCATATCCCGAAGAATTCTCCCCTACCTCCCCACCCTAATTCACCCAGATCAAATAGGTTTCATCCCAGGTCACCAAGCACTCAATGCTACGAGAAGAATTATCTCCCTCCTACACAACTTAGATAGTACTAAGAGCCCTTCCTTACTCCTATCTCTAGATGCAGAAAAAGCATTCGATCAGATACATTGGCAATTCATGCAACTCACTCTTCAAAAATTTGGCATCACAGGTTGGATGATGAATGCTATCTTGTCATTATATTCACATCCATCTGCTAGAGTTCTGACAGATGGCACATTATCTGACATTATCTTACCCTTTGACATCTCAAACGGTACAAGACAAGGCTGCCCACTCTCCCCGATAATATTTACACTCCTTATTGAACCCCTAGCTTCCAAACTCAGAGAGGACCGATCATTTACAGGAATCACACATCTTAACATGGAACACAAAATCAGCCTATTTGCGAACAATATAATATTAATGGTGACCAACCCAAAAAAATCCCTCCAAACGATTCGCTCACACCTATATACCTTACTCAACAGTCTCATATTACAAACTTAATGAACCCAAATCTTCCATACTTAATCTTCACATCTCAGCCCAACTCCAAACCCAACTAGCCAAACAATTCCCATTTTTATGGGAAACAAACAGCATTCCTTACTTAGGAATCAGACTTACACCAACGACAGACCATCTATACACAGCAAATCACAAAATATTGCTTGAAACTATCCCCGGAGAACTAAACACTTTACGCACTTCAGAACTCTCCAAACTAGGCTGAGTGGCGACACTAAAAATTTATATTTTACCCAAAATCTTATACATATTCCGCACACTCCCCATACCAATCCCTAATTCATTCTTCTAACCTACAAACAATCCTCACAAAGCTCCTATGGAACTTGAAAAAACCAAGATGTACCACCAATCTCTTAATAAGCCCTAGAGCTAAAGGAGGAGCAGGACTCCCACACCTCAAGTCTTATTACACAGCTACTCTTTTAGACCAACTGTATTTCTGGTGGAATCCATCGAAGGAAAACCCCACCGACCAACCGAATAAAACCCCAACTAAAACATCCCTGCATTCTAGCCTCCCTACAAGCTTGGTGGGACCTCCTTTCCACTAAATTTAAAGACGTCAAACATATACCTACTCCAACCAATATACTACACCTTCTCATTCCCTCACTAGACCTATCCCAATGGACAACTCAAGGAATAAACAACATAACAGACCTCTATATCAATCAATCTATATGCCCCTTCCAAATTCTCCAATCCAAATATATAATATCCCTACTACTGAAAATTTTACATACCTAAGAATTGCTCATTGTCTACAAACAACTAGCTTACCCCACAACGCTATGATACCATTTACAGCCTACATCTTCTTCACCAAACCTCAATACCCAGGTAAAGGTATATCCACCTTCTATACATAGCTCATAAACTTACAATTCACTCTACAAACAACCTCCCTAACCAATTGGGAAAAAATCCTATCAGACCAAAAAACTTTAAAATGCTGGGAAAATACCTTCAACATCACCTATAAAGCTACCCGATGCAGCTCCCACTGGGAGTCATATCTAAAAATACTCCACCAATGGTACCTGACCCCGGTCAAACTCTCCATCTACTACCTGAAACAATCTCCTACATGCTGGAGACAATGTGGTGAGCCGGCTAAACACTACATATTCTGTGGTCATGCAAGTCACTTCGATCCTTCTGGAATACTACTTTTCAATTAATCTCCTAAATAAATAAAATTTCGATAGTCCCGAACCCCTCATTAGCACTCCTACACATCGGAATCGAGAAACTCTCTCCTTACTCCAGAACAATTATCACCCACGTACTCTTTGCCGCCAAAATTAATATTACTAGATTATGGAACACAAATAATACCCCCTCAATCACTTCATTAATTATAGACCTTAACATTCAATGCCAAATGGAAAAATTATCCGCAATTAACACTTCTTCCTATCACAAATTCAATAACCAATGGACCCGATGGCTAAATCACCCAAAATGTTCTGTACAACCCTGATGACATTTTATAAGATGAAATTACCTCCCATACCAAGAATGCTATCTCCTCAATTACCCAGTTATATCCCTCCTCCCCAATCCTATCCTCCCCCACCTCTCCACCAAAACCCCCCTAACACCAAACTCCTCACCAAGGTTCATCATATGCACACGAATACCTCTGATGATATTGCTAAACAAGACCAACACCTCATCCGTCCAATGGGTGGAATCACAACAAAAATGCTCAACTATGTTTTGCCTATTGCAATATTGTATGAATGAACCATATCTCATTTCCCTGTTTTTCCCTGTTTATCTCTTAAAAACTTAATAAAAATATTGAAACATAAATTTCAGCAGTGCAGAGCTCTGAATAGAGGAGAGCACCACTATATATATATATATATATATATATATATATTATATATATATATATATATATATATATATATATATATATATATATATATATGTACCCTATTTTTTGCTCCATAAGATGCATTTTTTTCCCCCCAAAAAAGGGGGGAAAATGTCAGTGCGTCTTATGGGGTGAATATAGAGCAGCCGGTCCGGTATTTCCGCCTCCAACACCGTGTCAGAATACCGGGCCAGCCGCTCAGCTCTTCCCTGCAGCAGGACCTTACCTTATTCTTCCCGTGCCGGCATCTTTAGTGTGGGAACCCGGGTGTGACAGCCAGGTGCTCACTGCACATGCGTGACAAGCGCTGCGCTTTGTGAATGGCCTGGCGTCTTCTGGGACCTGTCATGTGCATGCGCAGTGAGCACCTGACTGTCACAGCCGGGTTCCTGCACTAAAGGGAAGACACCTCCGCAGAAGTAGGAGCGGGTACCTGTCAAATTCAGGTACCCGCTCCCCCTCCCCAAAGGTCCACAGTCTCCTTGTCATCCCTTGTACTGTATGCAGTCTTTGGTCATCTCCTGTACTGTCGGCAGTCTCTGGTCATCTCCTGTACTGTCTGCAGTCTCTTGTCATCTCCTGTACTGTCTCCAGTCTCTGGTCATCCCCTGTGCTGTGTCCGCAGTCTCTGGTCATCCCCTGTACTGTGTCCGCAGTCTAGGGTCATCTTCTGTACTGTGTCCGCAGTCTCTGGTCATCCCCTTTACTGTGTCCGCAGTCTCTGGTCATCTCCTGTACTGTGTCCACAATCTCTGGTCATCCCCTGTAATGTGTCAGCAGTCTCTGGTCATCTCCTGTACTGTGTCCGCAGTCTCTGGTCATCTCCTGTACTATGTCTGCAGTCTCTGGTCATCTCCTGTACTGTGTTCGCAGTCTCTGGTCATCTCCTGTACTGTGTCTGCAGTCCATTGGTTCAGAATATTTTTTTCTTGTTTTTCTTCTCTAAAACCTAGGTGCGTCTTATGCTCAGGTGCGTCTTTTGGAGCGAAAAATACGGTATATATAGACATGAGATGTCAAACCCTTGGATAGTGAAGCATGAAGCACTTTAATGATTAATGGGAAGCTAAACATGATGAGGGAGAGAGTCTGCTTCTGGGTTTGAAGTACTTGTCTAAGCTGCAGATATTTATAAAAAGGTTTATGGGTTAGTGAGGGCAACTTGTAAATATGTAATCTCTTTACTGAAAATTTTAAGCTTTTCATGCTGAGCTGGAAAACTGAATTTCTTTCTCTACTTTAGTCAAATTAAAAAAACATAATAGAATCAAATTTTGTTTTCTAAAGTTATTTTATTTTGAACAGAAATTTTAAAAATATCCACAGTGAAATCTTTTTGAAGGTACAAAAAGTCTTAAGACAAAATTGAATGTAACTGTTTAGAGATAATACATAGGTACAGTTTAGTCAAACATGAATGTTTGTCATTCAAAATGGGGACACAAGCTACTTGTTTGGAACCTTTCGATTTGAAGGCTTCATTCATATGGCATTTTAATGATGTTATTACAAATGTGTCCTCTAGGAGAAGAGTTCCAGCGTAATAATCAGTAAAATATTTGCGTATAGATGCACTATAGATGCATATGCGTACATAATAATTTATTTTTTTTTTTCCTTTGTTTAGACTTAATTTACACACTTACGAACGTGTATACATGTGTTTATATGCATAAAGTGCATATTCTTAGATGCAGACTTTAGGGTTCTTTGTTATGGATCTTAAAGCAGCTCATGTTTACGCACCCCTGTGAATGGCTCTATTGAAAACAATGCAGCTGTGTTCAGATCCGTAATCAAACAGCACTTGTATATATGTTTTTTTTAGGGCCATGTGAATGAAGCCTAAGTTGGCATTGATTTTTATAACCCTACTCTCCACACTTTATGGTCTATGAGAACGTCTTTCTCTTGGATCTCCAGATATACAGGTCATGGTCAGCGCATGCTGAAGCGCACAGTGCACAGAAGTCGCAAACTGTCTGCAGAGTCAACAGCTACAGCCATCCAAACTTTGTGTGGCCTTCAGATTAGCACAACAACAGTGTGTAGAGAGCTTCATGGAATGGGTTTCCATAGATGAACAGCTGCATCCAAGCCTTACATCACCAAGTGCAATGTAAAGTGTTGGATGCAGTGGTGTAAAGCATGCCACCAATGGACTCTAGAGCAGCAGAGATGTGTTCTCTGAAGTGACCAATCACGCTTCTCTGTCTGGCAATCTGATGGGTGTGTCTGGGTTTGGCGGTTGCTAGGAGAACGGTACTTGCCTGACTGCATTGTGCCAAGTGTAAAGTTTGGTGGAGGGGGGATTATGGTGTGGGGTTGTTTTTCAGGGGTTGGGCTTGGCCCTTAGTTCCAGTGAAGGGAACTCTTAAGGCGTCAGCATATCAAGACATTTTGGACAATTTCATACTCTCAACTTTGTGGGAACAGTTTGGGGATGGCCCTTTCCTGTTCCAACATGATTGTGCACCGGTGCACAAAGCAAGGTCCATAAAGACATGGATGGGCGACTTTGGGGTGGAGGAACGTGACCTGCCAGCACAGAGTCCTGACCTCAACCTGATAGAACACCTTTGGGATGAATTAGAGAGGAGACTGCAAGCCAGGCCTTCTCATCCGACATTAGTGCCTGACCTCACAAATGTACTTCTGGAAGAATGGTTGACTATTCTCACATACACACTCCTAAACCTTGTGGACAGCCTTCCCAGAAGAGTTGAAGCTGTTATAGCTGCAAAGGGTGGGCCAACTCAAGTTTGAACAATATGGACCAAGACTGGGATGCCATTACATTTCATGTGTGTGTAAAGGCAGGTGTCCCAATAATTTTTGCAACATAGTGTGTATATATATATATATATATTGATAAAATATATTTACATATATATATACACAAGGGTCATTCAAGTCAAACGGGCACATTTGAGTTTATATATTAAAAGACAACAAACTTCAAAGAGTGAAAACTGCATTTACTTTTCTACATACTTCCCTGCTACATTTTATATACTTATCCCAGCTTTTAACTAATGCCTTGAAAGCTTTGGCATAGAAAGATTTGTCAGTACGCCTGAACCATCCTAGGGCACAGCCGGCTTCACTTTGTTGTCATTGTATTCACCGTTCCCACTGAAAGATTTGTCTCTTGTGCAATTTTGGCATGACAGGTTATGCGTCAATTATCCAGGATCAGGCATGCCATGTGCTGAATGTTCACAGGAATGACTGCTGTGGGCTGGGAACCACCACGGCTGGGATCGTCAATGACCGAGATTAGATACTGCCATCTTTAAAACATTTACACCATTCAAATGTTTTACTGTGGCTGAGCGTCTCATCACCCTACTGTGCTGCTGAAGTGTTCTGGATGTGACTAACCTTAGGATCAGGATTTATTACTGAAGCCATGCAATGATCGTGTGTGTTCACAATGACTTTTGTTAAGGATATTTATTAGCTTTGTAGGAACTAGCAAGCCCAACTGTTTGTAGCATGAGCATGGTGGTAAAGAGTGTAATTTTATATATATATATATATATATATATTATATATATATATATATAGATAGATATATAGATATAGATAGATATATAATATATATATATATGCACACACACACACAAAATTGCCTTGTTCTTAGATTTAATTTTTTTTTTTTACTGTTTTCATTTTGACTTGTTTCCTGTATAGTTTTGGAAAACTGGAAAAGCTGTCTATCCTTTTAATAAAAAAAGAATCTGATTAAATAAAACAATACATGGAAGACATATGCAGTATGACCAGAGGTGATCTGATAGTCTTTCTAAAACTTTAGCAACCTGTCTCCCTATAAATTGTTTTTTCTTTTTTTTTTTTGCTGGCTAGTTGGTGTGCTGGGAAACTTGTTTTGCTTTGCAAAAAATCCTTTCCACATGCTCCTAACTTTAAAAAGTCAGTTATAAATTGGCTGGAATGGTTGACATTTTTTTTTTTGTTGTTGTATTTGAGATTCTCGCCTGCTGTTATTTTGGAGATATTACAACTTTTATATGGATTGCTTACATTTTATGAAACTAGCGTTTCTGCAAGGAAGATGAGGTCACTGAAGACCTTGTCAGTCAGTGATAGTACACAATTACAATGCACTAAGAAATATTAAATAGATACATTTCCCTGTTATACGTCTTCCTTCTCACTTCAACCACCAAAACACTTCTACCAACCCAACATAAAATTTCAGCTAGTGTATTGGGGTCTCTTGTAATATATACCAACTATTTTTTTGGGTTGCATGCAATGCTATTTCCACTTTCCTGAGAATAGATGTCCCCTCTTAGACAGCTGTCATTGGAACAGATGTTCCCATTGAAAGATGTACCCTAATCTTTTGCTCTGGTTACAGTTCTAAAGTAAAGGATTTTTCATCATTTTTTTGACATGTTGACAATGGTGAAGCAGACAAATACAGACCCAAGCAGGGACACAGACAGCATTAAAATCTTGACAAAGGGATTAGCCCTTCCCCTACTCTATCTGTCTAAAAAAGTTTTGCCACAAACTTTAAGGGGTATATGCATACAATTTTTCACCCAAGATTCACACAGCTTTCACCTTTTTGTGAATCATGAGTATAAACTGTGTAAGTCTTGGATGAAAACATTTATCAATAGTGCAGAGCAAGAGTTATTATATAAGTGTTCTCTTCAAGCATCCAGTAATATGAAAAAAAGAGCTGTATTTCAATGCCCACTGGCTTTGTGAATGCGTAAAGTATATGCAGCAGTACCCCCGCAGGAGCCAGCAAATTTTTTAAGGTACCTGTGTCTTTTCCCATTGTTGCCCCGGTCAAGCACACATGCAAAGTCACTCAGTTGACTCAAAAAACAGTCTAGAGGATGATTTTAGGATGCTTTAATAAAGATTTGAACTTGAATAGGGGTGGGAAGTGGTGGGATACTCCAATGACTCCTAGTAACAAACTTGAGGGCACTAAACTTGCTTCTTAGAACACTGAACCTAGTCCCTGAACAAGCAGATGGTGGACAGGCTCTGCAGTGACAGTAATGAAGATGTAAAATCTTCCTCTGTGGCCAGTCCAAGCAAAGTCCCTTCACAAGGATAAAGATAGACTATGCTTGGCTGGCTTTCTAACACACAAGAGGGATGGCAGCGACACTCAGTCTCTTGGATCTCTCACCCTTGTGTGTACTCACTGATGCCTCTGGAGATTACATGAAGCTGGTGTCAGTTACTTTTGCATTAACATTCTTAATGCTTTTTAAAAAAAATTACATAACTAACATAACATAGTGTTTTTATATCTGTCTGGAGCTCAGTTTTAATACAAAGGGAAGGAGGATTCCAAATACCATGAAATCTCCTTGCAGCTGAAACTACATTTTGCAATATATCCTTTACAAACCTAAAAGTAGATTCTGGAAGTTTGCCTGATCACTCCACTTTAAATAGACCATGTTGGAATGTTTTAGCGCAGGTTCACACATCTGGCAGTGCACTGCCTGAAGAACAGAAGTGAAATTTGGAAATCAAGATTCTAAATAAAAAAGCCTGCACTCTCAATGTGGGCCATGTATCAAGCTGATTCAATTAAAATCACAGGGAACGCTCCCACAGTGGTTTATCAAGTCTGATGCTTTTGACAAGAGTTGCTCATTCAGCCTGAGCTTCCTACAGTTCAAACATGCTGGATCAACTGATGCATAAAAGCTTGTGAAAAACTATGGCGGGTAATTTAGAAATCAATACATGTTCTAATCGTAAATGTGTTAAACAACTTTTCACTTGAAAAAGCACAGCGGAATGAAATGGTATGGAGGAAACAGGTGCATCTGATTTGTACACCCCATCTGTAGCTAGTAGTTACATCTCAGCCTCGTTCACATTTAGGACTGATTTATGGAACGTATAGGAAACAAAACAGAGCTGTTACTAGAATTTGA